AGATAGAACAGTGCTTATACTCTTAACATAATAATTATTATAGCATTACATATACAGTTAAATGACTTATATGAAACACTTCATAAAATGATATAATAAACATGAAATAACAAAATGATGTACAGGTCTCCAATTAAGGACCACTTTTCTGTGTTTCCAAATAACCAAATTCCTTGAATATCTAATGAGAGACCATGAAAACCCCATTCCTACAAGTGGTCCTTATTTGGAGGATTCAAATTACTGTAGGCTTGGCTGCAATAGTACTGGTAAGGGTGAAGTGGAGAGTTCTAACCACTGCACTACAGAGCCCGACCCTGTGTAGATTAGTGAATATTTTGTCTGTCTATCCTTACAAAATGTTTTAGCTTGAGGGCGAAGATTGTCTTTGAATTTTACGGTAATTTTGCGTTGAACCTCACTATTGAGAGGTTTAATTTTGCGCATTATTGTTTATATATTCGGTGGGGGTTATTAGGATGGGCGGATATCTTCGGATGACAGTTTTTTCTTACTTTTGCATTCTCGGCATCCCCTACAGACTTAATTTCATTGTATTTTGTTAAATGTCGACAGGTTCCGTTTAATTTAAAAAATAAAGAAACGCTTTAGGCAACGCAAATTGAGTTTGCCTAAATTTCAATCACCAGTTTATTATCGTTCGCGTTCTATGTTATTTAATTACATGTTTATTAATAGTAAAAATATGTAGCATTACGTCATTTAACTAGGCACATCTTTGTTTAGTATACTGAACCTATGTGGATAAGAGCCTGCTGTAGAATATTATTTTGCATTTTTCAGTACGTTTCTGATGATAGGCCTATACCTAAAAATAAGTTGGGACGAATTTGTAATGTTCGGACTGGTTTGATAATGAAGAATAAAAAATAATAGCAATTATACATAGTTGCTGCCGTTAAACAAGCATTTGGCCTAGATCTTATAAATCTCAATACATTTTTTAAATAATCTTATCAAATCAAGATAAATACATTTCTTTCTCTTATTACAACTTTGACGTATGGTAACAAACGATCAGCCAAAGTTGCAAAGAAAATGTGTAACTTTGGCCTACAGTACCAACGATAAGCCAGCATTCTTGAGTTCACCGTTGAATTGGCAAAGAAAATGTACCGTACCGTATGCATCGCATTCTTGACACTACACAAAAGTACTCTTTACACATTTCTAACGCTTCAGAGCCCTCGAATACACCCATTATTGCCTGGTTTTTCCCTGCATAACCTATATTAATTAAACTCAAGGTTGATTCGATTCAACACACAAACATATCTCGTAGTTTAGACAGAAAAACGCTTCATACAGGTGTAGGACCATTTTTAGCATCCACGCCTGCGTCTCTTTGACTTGCCGAGATAAAATGAGATGGAGAATTATCTAATTCACATTGTTGGTAACTGCTGTCACGACATAAAAGAATGCACCTGCTGTACAAGAAACAAAATAGATTTAGGCATATGTGTCCACACACACTCGTCTTTATTATGACGAGAAAACATTATATTTTTTGAATAAGTTCAACTATAAATAAATAATATTTTGCAAGGTGATAGGGACAGACCCAGGGGCGGATCCAGAAATGTCCAAAAGGGGGGCCGGAAGCGGGGGCCGAAAGTTGGGCCGATTGAGACAACACTGTCGTAGGGGGTCTGGGCCATGCCCCCGCGAAATTTTTGTGTTCTAGACGCCCGAACATAACATTTGAGGCATTCTGGGCTATCATTTTTTTCTTTTTCTCTCTTTTTTTTCTTTTTTTTCTTTTTTTTTACCTCCCAAAAGGGGGGCCCCTGAGACCACTGTTAGGGACAGACCACTGTTTGGCAATAAGTTCGCCACTGCAGACGGTGTACTCATGGAGGTATTATATACCTCCATTGTGTACTCAGTCTACCTAGTTAATAAGTTCGATGACGTAATGGCTGACGAAAGTCATCCATTACATTCGACTATTGCTGGTTGCTTTATACAACGCAGACTGAGGATACCGGCTGCAAACACGAATAGATATCCTAACTCATTCATTTCGAAAGGTATTTGCCTCTTTAACAATCGATATGTTAGATAGTTTTTATTTCTCTTTAAGAGTGGAAGAAAAGAACACTGTAATTTCCAAATTTTTGGATGAATAAAGTGATGTCTATGTATATGTCTATGGAGTACTTAAAGTAAACTGAGAGAGCACTACTTACCAGTTGAGTAAAATGTTAAACCAATTGAATTGGTAAAATTGAGTATTAAATAATTTTATATAATATAATTTAGCTTCATAAATAATAACTTAAGACTTTACTTAAACTTTAAATATTTATTTCAAATATAATTGTGTATATTTAATTTTATATTTAAGTTATTAGCATATCTATGTATAAATTATATAAATGTAAAATTCAATAATTCATTTAGCTTCACAAATATCTAATTTCTTCACTGATTAACTATTTATTTCTAACATAATGATATAATACTACTGTAATTTAATATTTAAGTTATTATTAGCGTCAGTATGTACGGTATACAGTATAGGCTTAATATAATGTAATGCCTTAGTCATTTATGTTTATCTATGTCATTTATATTGTGTGTAGTAGTCATTATTTGGAGGTACACACCTATTTGGTGACAGTGGTTTAGGCTGCTTTTGTGCTTTCCTGGCAGCTAATGACTATGGTATTTTATGTTATTGCTATGCTTGTTTGATTTATTGATTTGTATTATATTTTTTATATTGTATTTTTTAAATAATAATAATAATAATAATAATAACAATAACAATAACAATAATAATAATAATAATAATAATAATAATAATAATAATAATAATAATAATAATAACAATAACTTGATTTGAGGCAGAAGTAAGATTTACGAGTGTGGGTGTATGTGGACGTGTGTGTGTGCACACACACATACCCTCTTACAGAAATCAGGACGATGCTATAATACAGGTTTAATTAAAGACTACCTAGACCACCTCTAATTAATGACCACTTTTTTGTAGTCCCAAATTACCAAATGTATTTATTGTTATTAGGCTATTTTAATTAGGGAACAAAGCTGCTAAAGACCGTAAAAACCCTGGTCCCAAAAGTGGTACTTAATTGAAGGGAAACCTGTATATAAACTAGGCCTACCGTTTGCTGCCTTTCCTTAAGAATTCCTCGGCATCTTCCATTGTCTGTGGTAGATCCACGCCAGTCGTTTCAGGCAGCGTACGAATAAACAAAGCACCACAGCACAACCCAGAACTAAACAGCACATAAGGAATCGGCCACCAATAGAGCTCGCCCAACGTGAACAGCATCGGAGTCATCGCGGCACCTATTCGCCCGAAAGAACTGCACAACCCGACACCTATTTGCCTAAGAAGGAAAATGTATTGTATTCCTAATCAAATGATAAATTTGAAAATTGGCCAGAAAAATTATAATCATTTTTAATATATTTCAAACTATAACAATGGTGTTACTATACGATTTATATGTTTATACACTGTTTATCATTGTGTTTTTGATAATTAATTTTGTATCTCATCCCTAAATAATTATGAATAGCAAACAAATTAAAATAACACGAAAGGTTCACTTGGATATTGTTTGTTTTGTGGGATCACACAATAAACTATTGATTCGTTACCTACCTTATAGGTGTTGGTAAAAGCTCCGTAGTATATAGACATACGACTGCAAATCCCACAGATATGCCAAATTTTCCAATTACTGCGATGCCGACAACAACGGCATCGTTACCTGATATTGATTAGCAAATGTGTAAAATCGAGTGTAATGTCAATAGTTTATTCAAGGTATTTATTTTTTTAAAAACATCAAAAATTATACATGGCAGCCAAAGGCTGAATTGAGACAATTGTACACAGCATCAGAAGGAAAAAAAATAGAAATATAAAAAAAATCAGAACAAAACAAACAATCCACAATCTACAAAGCCAAAACTCAGCAAATATTAAAATTGTTAGTAAAAATTAATCCAATTAAAAGGAAAAAGATCAGAACTCCTTGTTCAAATAGTGGATTGGACTATTTTTGAACCGTTTGGTTAAGGAGAGAAAGTCGGCATTCTTAATGTTCTACTATTCTATTCTCTTATAGCTCTAGGCAACCAACTACGAAAATCAGGGGAATTCATTAATTTTTTTTGCAAAATTGAAGACATATTTTATCTCTGCGATTTCTTAATGTAGTTAATTTGCATCGGATTAAGGCATCAGGGTAAGTAGGCCTAGTATAACCTACTACCTATAGGATGATTGTTGCTATTAACCCACTTCTCAGGAGAGTCCAAATCTGATTGTAACGTTGAGATTTGGCTGGTGTAATTATTTTCAATTATGGTATCATCTACGTAATTTAAGTCTTGGGCTAAAAAAAAAAGTGTCTGGTCCAAACAGAGTGCCCTGCGGCACACCTCTATGGAGTTGAAGGCAGGAAGACAATGTATTCTGATACCTCAGACATTGAGAGCGCTGTGGTAGACAATTACAAATCCATGGCAAAAATAGATGGTCTAGCACCAAAATTAATTAATTTTGGAATTACAATATTATGATCAACACGGTCGAAAGCTTTGCTAAAGTCAGTTATTATAATCCTAGAATTTACTTTTGGGATTTTCGGCATAGATGTTGTTCAGCAATTGTAATAATCTTTGCTGGTATGCCATCAGGGCCACCAGCTTTCCTAATATTAATTTTAGAAAGTCTATTATAAACTGTCCATGGATGTAACTCCGGTACAGGGGCCGGGGCTGGAAGTAAAGCAGATATTAAGTTTGTGACAGAAAGTGGCGGTATATCTCTCCCGATCGAAGCAAACCGATTAATGAATTTAGCCATGTCCTGGGCACTATCAATATCAAATTCCGGAGGAGGGACAATTGTTCTTTTTGATTTATTATTTGTCGTCATAATTCGAATTTCTCTATATCAAGTGGCGGGGTTAGAATGTTTAAGGCGTTTAACCTTGTTAAGAGAATATTCCTTTTTGTCAGCTATAATCGCTCGTTTAACTTTGTTCATAAAAAAAAACGCCCAAGTGGAGGTCGATTGAAAGTATAAACTTTTTTGCTTTTTCCGTATCAATCGCTGGGTATTAGAGGACATCCAAGGCTTGTCACAAATGTGAAGCTTAATTTCACGAACGGGAAAATACTTACGCAACCGCATGCTATTCATTTTTTTTAATAGTTTAAAATGTTACAATTACAAAATATATATTTATCGTATGTAGATGAACAGTGATGTCAGAATAGTGTAACGGTGATTTATACCTTGTGGAATCATAGACACCAACGCTAAGGCGACTCCGGCGACGGTGTAGCCACAGAGGGAGGCCAACTTGCGTCCTATCCGGTCCACAAACAGTGCAGTAAGTGTAAGCGCTGGCACTTCGGCTAAACCTGTCAAGAACATGTTTAGCAAATCATGGCCAGCCAAAAAATCTGTATTTGTTGACAAGCCAATGTAGACAGCATATGTTACCGACCTAATCATTATACACAAAATTAGACAAAGAAAAAACATAAGGCGTGATTAAATTTGAGGCTCGGAATACGGATTATGACATCTATGCTCCTCTCTTAATATTATAAATACATATCGTTGAGGAAAAAACATAAGTAGGCTATATTTTATTACCATATGATATCAATAATAAGCATAAGTACGGTAGTTTTTCTTGTTTAAGTTATTGTTGTAGATCAAGTTACTCTTTGTAACTATTATCGGAACCTATTATTATTATTATTATTGTTAGTATATATTCTATTGCTAACATTGTTTTGGTAACATTTAGATTATTTTTAAAATGTCATAATTAAATAATTCTTTCCACCAATTGTTTATCTACTACTATTATTGTTTAAGTTAAAACATCTAACTACTGTAGGTTCACCTTTTACTGAGCCAAATGGCTTACCTAGAGGAGTACACATAACAAATCATTTAAATCAGGGCCGTAGACGGGGGGGGGGGTGTTGGCGCCGCGGCTTTCCCGCCCCCACCCCCATCTATGTACACAGTGTAAACATTTTAAAGCTTGTTCTTCCTAGCCATTAAAAAGTCTTTCTATAGATCACTCAAAATGAATAGGCTACTTCTAAACTATGTAAATATACATTAGCACACGATCTACATAGGCCTATTATAATAACTGATAGGCCTAATCGATTTTAAAAAATCTTAAATCCATAAATCACAGGCCAGGTCTTTTCAGATACAGAAATGTGATATTGTATGGTTCAGTTTGGTTTTTATCCTTTTGCAAGGTTTATAAAATTTTGTTTTATTACTACAGTACTACTAGGAATAATAGTAATAATAATGATTATGATGACGATGATGCTGATGACGATGGTGATAATAGATAATAATCTAATTGTATTAAAAAGTGAAGAAAATTGTGCTAAAGGCGGAAAAATAAGTTGTGATTTGTTGGTCACAATTATTATAGTATTGTTAAAGCTTAGTAAGCTATAGTTAGACCTAAGTTCTCCTGTATATTAAGTAGATCCCTAATAAAAGATCATTGAGAAATTTGTTGGCGGTTCATTTTGACTATATAACGATGATGTGATGATGATGAATTTTATTGTATAAAAGTGTCATTTCCGGCCATCTAGAGGTACTATTTCCTCACATTTTCTCACCTCAGCCCCAACTATGGTGGGGCTGAAGTGGTTGTGAAATCACGGCTTTGAAGTATGTAAAGTACATAGACCTACTCAAAAACAATGCTTTTAAGCTTTATTTTCTATGGTACATCACACATATTAATAAGATCTCTATGGTTGCCGAAAATCCCCGATAAAAGATCGTGAGAAATTTGTTGGTCCTTCATTTTTTGAGTATAATTATAATGATGATGATGTGATGATGATTTTTACTAAAAATGTCATTTTCTGGTAATCTAGAGGTACTGTTCCCTCAAATTTTCGCACCTCAGCCCCAACATGGTGGGTCTGAGGTGAGTGTCGACTCACGAAATGTCCCCCACCCCACACCTTTCAAAACAGACTACGCCCTTCCTGGGTATGACATTAATCTCCGAGTCGATACCTGACTCAGAGTATGTCTTAGTGACTGCTGATGTATACATTTGTTTTTAGAATGTGATCTGGTTTTTACATGCCCATTTTTCGCGATTATGACTATTTTGGATAAAGAATGTTTTGAGCAGTGGTGGAATCAAGGCCCCCTCTCCCCTAAATTGTTTTAATGGAAAAACCATCGGTCTTTTCTAGTTCAATATTAAAAGGATTTATTTAAAAAATTTTAGATTCTAATTTTAGAAAAAACTTTGTTGGTTTTTCACCTTTCTCAATCCATTTTGCTTTTGACCTTATAAGCATGCCCTTTATTCGTTGACTATTGATATTATCTATTTCTGAAGTAATGATATTTATTTCTTTTAGGATATTTGTCTTTTCTGAAGTTGATTCAGTATTATCCAATTCTACTTCTAAATTTGAGAGTCTTTTTTTCTAGTTCGTTTTCTTTTTGGTTTGTAGTTTTCTTTTTAGTAGATGGATAATTTATTGTTTGACCTCTTATTATTAAAATTAAAACTTCCCATAAAAGTTAATCATTTATAGAGTATCTTGTTATTCCATCTAAATTGTGCTACGTTTATTTTGTATTGGTCGAGAGTTGTTTTTATAGTAGTTTTTACGAGATCTACATAGTCTCTATCATGTAGCAGAGAATTATTAAATTTCCAAAATCCTTTTTTAATGTTAACATTACAATAGAATGATCCGAATTTATGCTCGGGGGAATTTCACAATTCTTAACTGAATACAATAATTCGTGTGAAATTATAAAGAAATCCAGTCTGGCCTGCTACTGAATTTATGATGCGTTTGGGTCACCTCTCTATTGAATTCCTGGATCCACCGCTTTTGAGTTTTATATAATTATTGTTAAGCTTACTAATATTATTTATGATGCGTTTATTTCAATTTTCACTATCATCTCAAAACAGTTCTAAAAACCTTCAGAGCGCGCTACTTTCCAGAAGGATTTGCCCCCCGGGAGTCCTACGTACCCCGCATAACGGCTCCTTCCCTTTTGAAATTCTGGCTACGTCCCTGATTTAAATAATCAAATACGGCCTATGTAAATACAACACGGAGAACAGATTTCTGCTCCAGGAGAATATCCTGATGCTGATCTGGTATCACTCACCATTGGAAACACATATTCAGTACTGTTTTCCTCATCAATGGGTTTCGCATCATATCCATTAACCCATAAGGTCTTGGACTCGACACTTCTGAATTCTGTGAAAAGCAGCAATAAATTCAGAACAATATTACAATCTATAAGACTTCATTTAGATCTTATAATAATTGTTTAAAAAATTACCCTAAAAACATAAAATGTTCCTTGCGAAAGCAAAGTTTCTTCAGCAACGGTTCTTCAGTTTAATCATTTTGACATGAATAAATACATAATATTCCTTTTTTTTTAGCATTCAATGAATTTGCAAATTTTAGGTAATTTAGTAAATGGTCCAAGTTGACTTTTGCATTAATACATGTTTTTTTTTTCTTTTTATTATTAAAAAAAATAATAAAAAGATGGATTGTCATTAGGAAATTAAATGGATCGTATTCCCTGAAGTTCCTTTGCGATAAACACCATCTGAAAAGGTCGAAAACATGGCGTGTTCATTTATGGCAGACTGGAGGTTGCTGAGAAGAGTCATACATTGAGGGGTGCAAATACATCGCAAAAGACAGGAAAAGTGGAGACAGAAAGCTTTGAATAGGATGAACTTGAATAAGTAAATAATTTCTCCTCCTTCATCGCTGTCAATGGGTTGTGCTATTTGTTCGCCTGCATCTTTCAAGATACTGTATTGTATCTGTCTTCAATTCCGTCATTCTGCATGTTGAACGATCTTGTCTCGTATTGATTAGTAGCCTGATGACAAGGCATATCTTCTTTACAGGACGTGATGAGACGCGTATCCAGACTCAAAATTACTTATGATTTTCCTAATTGTAAATCACAACGGCAACCGACCGGTAGAACAACCTTGATGCTAAAATAACTAAAATATACATATAAAACCTAGAAGGAAAGAATTATCCGTTAAAATACAACATAATTTAAATATGAGCATAAAAACAAAATTATCATCATCGAAGAAATACTTTAAATTATGCAAGATGATGTCGTTTTATATAATATGTAATGTATGAAATGTACTTTTATGTTTAAGCGGATATTTGCCTACGATGGCTTTGACAAATACCAGAATTATAATTGAAAGTAATGTGATATTCAACCAATTACGACTGCGAAGACAACAATGGGGAATATTGAAATTAAAGCACAAGAATATATTACAATAAAAAACATTAAAATATTTGATTAAAACAAAGATTCTGAGCAGGATAAATAAACAAAGACTATCTTCTGTAGCACTAAACTTTTATTGAAATATCTACATTAACATTTAAAAAATATTAAGACAAATTCAAGAAATATAAAATTATGAAATTATAATAATTAAGAATAAGATTGACATTAAATTTTGAGTGAAATTATTAGGAATTACTGCACAAGGAAGGCAGAATATTGGATTATTGGATTTGAAAATGTTTCAAAACAGATTTTCAGTTAATTTTTTCTTTTTCGTTTATATTGCTATATAATTTAAGTAATTCTTTTCATTTTGGTCATATGTTGTGAGTGGACGTTTCTTTCCTCTTTGAGTTTTGCGCAAAAGCACATTAATTGATTTCTGAGGTTCTTTTCAAAAAATATTATAAATATTATAAACATATTACATTTAAAAATATTAAGGCTTATACAAATATAAAAATACTAAATTAGAATAAAGACTAAAATTTAATTTTGCGTATAAAAAGTTTAATTAAAATTATTAGAAGTTATTGCACAAGGGAGGCAGAACATTGAATATGAACAATTTAATTTGAGGATTTGAGTATTTAAATGTCTCAAAACAGATTGCCAATATTTTGAGGGAATTAAATGTCCTTTATTGTTTATTTTGTAGTAATTCTTCTCACTTTATTTTTCATAATAGGCTATATGTGAGTGGACGTTTCTTTCCTCTTTGGGTTCTACAGAGAGGCCATTTTGAGTTTCTGAGGCTATTTTCATGCATATTTAATCTCTTCTATTGAAACCATAATGGAAATTGTCTTCGAGGGAAATTTCATACATAATATATTCGATTACGTCTTTGTTGTAGTGTCCACAATCAACAAAGAGTGCTTTTGTAGCTTTTCGATGGCTTCATGACCCTTTCTGTGTTAGAATAATAGTTCCGGATGCCACATAGCGGCCGCATATTTTAAGGTCTGACATATTTTACTATTAGTAGATTAGACCTTGATTGGTTTAACTGTACAAAACTCAATTTCTTAATATAAACGACTTGCATAAGACACAAGTTGCATGTTTCAGTTTATTCATGGCAGGCTGCCAGTGACTATCTAAATTCAAAATGAATGGAAGATATGTCTACTGTTGGTCATGAGTTTTGGAAATATTCAAACGTTCATTTAAAAAGAGATTTAGTATTGTTTCTTCTTGATCTTTATTTCTGATGAATGTAAACATTACTTCGTTGAAAAAATAGATTGCAGACTTTTGGTCAGATCTGAGCGATACATTTATGCCGTGAATGGAATGGAAGAATGTTATATCGAAGGATATTATAAATGACGCCACGCTTGATTTATAAAAGATGATTTTTAAAAACAAAACCACAATAACCAGATAACTTAATTCTCCAAACATTAAGTACTTTAACAATGATTCTACTTTTTGTTACGGCTCTAAAATGTATACAGTATTAGTATTCACATTACCCATGATTATATATATATTTACTTATTTATTCAGTATTTTGGAAGGTTGACTCTACAGGAAAACCTGTTTTAAAGAGTCCCCCTGCTTCCCCGTATATTATACACAGGTGCCGATTGATAGAGAAAAATGGTAACAGGCAATCCAAAGTAGTATACAGTACACACCTTGGCCTCATAGCTCAGTTAATAAATATCCGAAAGGTGATCGGAAGGTCTTGGGTTCAAATCTCGGTGGGACGTTTTTTTCAACATTTATTATCACTTTATGTATCACCAGAGGAGGTGTTTCTCCATACCAAGCTATTATCATAAAATACGGATTCTTCGTACTAAGATACTATATAATAATACTTATTACACGATCGACCTAAACCTCTCAAATAATGTTAAAATCAATGACTACTGTATTTTAAAATACGTAATGTAAACGCACGCAAAACGTGGAGAGTCGTACACTAGTTTACCGCGAAAATCGAGGCAACTCGAGGTGGTTATTTTTCGTTGTGTTGTCCGGAATACATTTTAGTGTCTACTTTTCTTGATATTTCACTATGACTGGAAATGTAGGTGAATAACAGCATATCCAACATGGACTAATATAAATGCAAGTAAGTTTAAATGATAAATATAGGAGTTAAAATCAGCATTCTATATATGATATTATAACACACCTAAATAGATCCTTGTCATTTGATTGGTAGATTTCCTATCACGTGACATTGATAATTTGCACCATTTCGTCACTCATTATTGAAATTTAGTTTCACCGTACATTTTTACTTCCATCCGTGCATTTTCGTTCCATCCTTTTCGATCAATTGCACGTCGCTTATGATACGACATGACTTCAACCTAATACAATCTTTAATTAGTTAAAACGACGCTGGACTGTTTCATATAGAAAAGGGTAGATTTTTTTTCATAAAATATCAAATGTCAAGAATCTTCATTCAAAAAAAAAAGGTAGATTTTTTTAATAAAATATCAAATGACAAGAATCTATTTTAGGTGAGTTATAAAACAAATAATGAATGTTTTTTATTCGTGCAATGGAAAGAATATTTTCATTCGTTGAAAGACTGTTCCATTCAACTCCGCTCCGCCTCATCAGTCAATCTTTAAACACATGAAAATTGTCTTCCCATTGCACTCTTAAAAATTCATTATTTGTATAGGGCCTATTGGATACAATGTAATAGTATTGAGAAGAATAGAATGGAAAAAGGAATTGAATTGAATGGAACCTAAATAGAATGGGAATATATACGGTAGTAGAATAGAAATGTATATAGAATTTAGTAGAAAAAATAGAGTGAAAAAAGTAATAGACGGAAATAAAATCAGAAGTAATAATGGAATAGGCCTAGAATTAAATGAAAATTTTAATAAAACAGAATGGAATATACTCGAATCGTAGAAAGGGATCTAATTTAAGGAGATGAGATAAAACAGAAAAGAAAGGAGTAATATTGAAATGTATGTAGAATTTAGTAGAAAAAATAGAGTGAAAAAATTAATAGACGGATATAAAATCAGAAGTAATAATGGAATAGAATTAGATGGAAATTTTAATAAAACAGAATGGAATATACTCGAATCGTAGAAAAGGATCTAATATAAGGAGATGAGATAGAACAGAAAAGAAAGAAGTAAGACTGAATGTAGGCCTAATAGCAATAACATAGAATGGGATTTAATATTATAATTGAGTGGAATGGAGAGATGAAATACTTACGTAATATTTATGTTAATTGGGAAATGTTAGGCTAACGCCTTTAAAACCCCAATCACACTTTCGGCAGCATCAGCATCTCTCGGAAATATGATCTGTATGACTCTTTCTCTATGAGAAAAAGTCCAAATCCGCACGCCAGTGATTGATTTTCTTCAGACTTATGGTATATTCCTCGGCCACTGACATTCACGAAAGTGAATGGTTTGGTACTGCTGGCCAGCATTCCCAATGCTCTTTTGATCCAGGATGTTGGTCTGCATGTTTGACTCTGCCAATCTTTTCCTGTAGCTCAGTGTCATTGAAGATAAAGGCTTGGTGACTCTTCTGACTATCTCAAGCCGACTTTATCTCAGCCCTAGAACCCAATCCTTCGAGGTGTGGCTGCACGGACGGGTTCAATCTTTTTCTGCATCTGTAGATTGAATAAGATTGTTTCCCATCGTGTAAACCACCTCGAGGTTGAGTTTTCTCCCATATGCATGATTTTACATATTCGGAATAAATTTTCAGCAACCAGGCCTCAGATAATTTAACCAGCGAGTCAATGTAGTACTAAGCAGTCATTATGGAAATTAGCAGGAGCAATTAACTTAGTTTCATCGGCGTACGTCTGCGAGTGTTTGCATCAGTTGTTGGATTCGCCCTCCCCGAAACCAAAAATTGCCTGTCTAGGCATGAACTGTTTTATACAAAATGTTGTATTAAAATGCCTTCCTAGCGTATTTTCAAGAATTAATTCAGTATTACTTTACTATAGGAATATTATACTAATTTAGGCTTGTTTTAACAACCCAGTCTTAGCTTTTTTTCGACACAATCATCAGGGGTCAATGGTGTCGATTTTTCATGGAAAGGTGGATAAAAATAATTGTAATTGGTAGAAATTCTGGATATTAGGTATTAGGAATATCATTCATGCAATAATATGCAATATTAACAATTATTATTATTGTTATTATTACTATTGTTATTATTATTATTTTCATATTGTGATTATTATTTAATATTATTAATAATACTCTATTATTATTATTTGTGTTATTATTATTTTTATTATTATTATTGGAATACAATAGAATTTAATTTAATAGAATTGAATTGAATAAAATACTACATAGATATATATTTAAAAACATAGTACACTTACAGTTATTGTGGTTAAGTGATTGACTTCGTCTAGTTTATCTACACTGAGTGTTGCTTTGTTGACCACAGCAGCATGTAATAGAATACGTTTCGCCTCCTCACCGCGACCATGAGCAAGTAGCCACCTCACTGATTCGGGAATAATCCTAGTTCGGAAGCAACAGAATGCAACACCGTACCATTAACATATTTAAGGCGTAAAATCACCAGGAATACATTTTATAAATACATCCTCTGTTAAGATTTAGATCTGATAGGATTTAGAGGGTTATCCCCGATATCAACTTTTGACTCTGTGCCTCTTGCCCGGCCACTTGGTTTTCCATTTGTTTATGGTATCAAATAAATCAATTTACTGTAAATGCAAGAAACAATTTTCTACGGGAATATTGTATTATATTTTATAATCGGTTTGCTCTTGAGTGATTTAAACATTATAAGTGTCCATTTAGATAGAGTACAGTTTTTATTCTATTATGACCAGAACTCATTATTCATGTTATGATTGTTTTTCTGCAACCTGCCAGAAAAAAAGTTCAATGATAATATAGATATATAAATAATATATGTAGTATATACTTATAAACTAAATAAAACAGAATAATTTATATATTGGAAATAATATTCACAACAATTGTCCTTGCTTTTTTAATCTTCTTGATTTTCTTATTAATATTAACTTATTTAGCAAATTTAATTATGTAAATGTATTGCTTGTTTTCATACTGTAGGTCTTCATATTTGTCAACGCTTTTTTACTTTTATTAATCTTTGTATTAATGGTTTTATATCTCTGTATTTTTACTCTATTGATTCCATTGTAAGCGTTTCATTTAAATCTTGAATTGTACTTTGAGCATTTGTAAACCGGAATAAATAAAACATAATAATAATAAATAAATACATAAATAAATAAAAGAAAATACACATTGTATACGCAACTAGGTAGCTTAACATCTTGTGATATTATACAATAGTATTCCATTAATATTGATTGACTTACCAGAGATACGATAATGCAAATGAAAATATTATGCAAAGAAAAATATCCAACTTTCTCCAGTCCTTCACAAAAGAAGCAATTGAGGGCATAATCATGGCAGCTATTGGGTACCCCAGATAATATAGAAGTCCAAGTGTACCTCGTTTCGACGGCCCAACGAGTTCGGTTACTGGTGAGAGGAAAACACATATTCAGTTGTAACAAACATTCGAAATACGAGTGTATGAAGTTATTTTTTCACAATTTTCGCAATACATTATATTAATCACACACATTAATCAAAGTCATTATGGTAGTATAATATCTGTGATCAGTTTTAGCATTGTCAAACCTTGGTGTTTGTTTGGTCCAACTTTTCTGTAGACGTAATGTCTTCTTCGATGATCAGTGAATATTTTTTGAAATACATCATAAATAAATTTTAGATCTGCTTCGCTACAAGCAGGAAAATTTAGAACTAATGTTTAAGTTTACTGTGCTTGCGCAAATACTCTATGCTGTGGCGGTCGAATTATTTTGTACAATGGAATGAGTTAAAATTCGTCTGTAAAAATTTTAATGTTCATCACGACTTCGAGTTCCAACTACGTATCCAACTTATGAGGAAGTTTGTTAATGGACCTACGTTTTGACAGACAACCAATGGCTGATAACAGCTTCTCCGATAATGGACTATATGTCTATGTTTAAAATAATTTTGACCTAGGTTCTGCAGTGTACCCATGCTCCTTAATGAGGAACCTATTTTTGTCATTGTCACTTCTACAACCAACCATGCAAAGAGCCTCGTTTCTTTTGAATTTATGAAATATTCTAAAGTTTATTAAGAAAGGTATTCAGCTCATGCCATGGTAGGATGCACTACAAGTATTGTCTTTTGAAAATATGTTTATATGTTTATCAGTTGAAATTATTGTCACGCTCTATTTTGTTTGATGTTTTAAATTGTAGCCTAACTTTGGTCATGGTATTGTTTTTATCATTGGATGAAAATAGACCTATTCATGAATACGGTGCATGTACATTGCAAGTAGTAAACCAAAGTGAAGCAATTTTACTGGTACCCATCGATACATATGGGTACACTGAAGTAATGTAGATAAAGTGATTTTCACATTGTCGTATCTGGTGGTGCGGAGATGTTCCCCAGTCACACCCTACCCCCTCCCCACCCACCCAACTCCATAGCTTTGTGTTAAAAGATTGAACATTTTTTATTTGCTTCTTTAAAAAGTGGTCTGGAATTAGAGTCTCAGAATAAGTGGGATCTCGAATGGACGTTTCCGCTAAGCTCCGCCCCTCGGATATTGTTGCTAAGGTCCCACAAAACGGCAGTGTTAAAACATACGCGAACACGTGCGTTTTTGTGGGACAACACGTGTGTTTGTAAGACGCGCGCGCATTCCTAGCACTGTTCTGATTAGTCAGTTAAGTTTGATTGACACTCCGGAATGGTCTATTGGCAATGTATCTTGCTTTTAGACAGTTTAGCACACTACCAGATGTACAACCGCAACCGGTTTGAGGGGTTTTGCAACGGTTGTGGTTTAAACATTTTTTAAAGTTATGTTTTTTTCATTTTAAATTATTTTTAAATTGCTTTGCATTGTGAACGGAAGCCTTGCTCATCGCATTCTTTAGCCGGCGCTATCATTCACCGTAGTCAATTATAGTATATTAGGGACGTGCTTATACTTTCTTTTTGCTATGTTCTTTGCAACGTATTGGATGCAGCAATTATTGATTACTATGCAGATACAAAACAAAACTGCCGATTATTTGATGTTAGCACACAGGCCTACTCACATAGGCCTATAGTATTGGGATTAATTCTTGTTTTGAAAAGCAGTTTTGCCTTGCATAGAGACAAACTTCAACATGGTTTACAATATCCAACAAAACTTATGTGCATAGATTTAAATTGCTTTGAAATAAGCATTATTCTGATTCTGGAATTTTCAAAAATTCTAACAATTTTAGACTTGGATAGTGTTTCTTGCTACAACACTACAATGGTAATTTGTTCAGAATACTGGCGATTATCCTGAGTTGAGTTGATTTCACCTCCTTACAAACCCCACACACACCGTACCCTTCATGGATATGCTGTCTCTTATACACATCTAGATGTGTATAAGAGACAGGTTTAGCACACCACCAAATGTACAACCGCAACCGGTTTGAGGGGTTTTGCAACGGTTGTGGTTTAAACATTTTTTAAAGTTATGTTTTTTTCATTTTAAATTATTTTTAAATTGCTTTGCATTGTGAACGGAAGCCTTGCTCATCGCATTCTTTAGCCGGCGCTATCATTCACCGTAGTCAATTATAGTATATTAGGGACGTGCTTATACTTTCTTTTTGCTATGTTCTTTGCAACGTATAGGATGCAGCAATTATTGATTACTATGCAGATACAAAACAAAACTGCCGATTATTTGATGTTAGCACACAGGCCTACTCACATAGGCCTATAGTATTGGGATTAATTCTTGTTTTGAAAAGCAGTTTTGCCTTGCATAGAGACAAACTTCAACATGGTTTACAATATCCAACAAAACTTATGTGCATAGATTTAAATTGCTTTGAAATAAGCATTATTCTGATTCTTTATATTATTATCATCATCATAACAGATCACCAACAATAAGGTACTAGAAATCAGTGGCATGCAATCTATGTTTACTCTATTAAAACAACGTAGACTTCGATGGCTTGGTCATGTGTACAGGATGGAAGATTCCCGAATTCCAAAAGCTTTACTATACAGTGAAACTGCTCAAGGGAATAGACACTTTGGAAGGCCAAAACTAAGGTTCATGGATGTCTGTAAAAGAGACCTTATAGCTGTTGGGATGAACCTGAAAACATGGGAAGCAATAGCCTGTGACAGAGAGTCTTGGAAAGTAAGTGTAGCTGATGAATTAGCATAATTTGAGAAAGATTACAGAAAGGAAAATGAAGAAAGAAGAGAAAGAAGGAAAAGGAAGCAGCATACAACAGATTATGACGTAGTGCAAACTCTAGATTGTCGATATTGTGGTAGAACTTGTTCTGCTAGAATTGGTCTTATTAGTCACGAGAGGGCTTGTAAATGGAAGTTATAATGAAAATGAAATTGAAGAAAATTAGTTAATCAATTTAATAAACATAAAATTAAGCTCTTAAAATTTGCAAAATTAATAAGTGAAAAGTCATATTTTCCAAAAGTGCCTTTCTATTTGAGAAATTGTATCCATAGTTGTTTGTGACTGACGGAGCCAATGATGATATCATCATAATCATCATCATCATCATCATCATCATCATTGTGGCCGTCGTCGTCGTCATTATCGTTATCCTCATCATCATCACCGCCACCATCATCATCATCATCATCGTCATCATCGTCATCATCATTATTATTATTATTATTATTATTTATATCTACTACTATTCTGGTTTGACCTGAAACAAAGTGAATGAATTATGGCAGCGAACTTGACTATTGGTTAAGTAATTGATGAGTAAATATTTTAAAATTGTTTGATAAAAAGATAAAATTCGAAAATTGTTACGTTGACCGTTGTTTGGTGACATGATACAACTATATATATTTAAAGTTGTCTCAAGTTGGGCAAAGCAATTTAACAAATCATTTCTTCCCCCATGAAGTGATCTCATATATATCTTTTGTACGAGTTGAAGCGCTGGTAATCCTATGACTTTAACAGTATTTACAATATCCAGCAAATCTGTAAGTGTATAGATTTGAATAGCTTTGGAATAAGCTTTATTATGATTGTTTAATATCTTGATTTTTATTATTACTACAAATATTTTGATTGTATCATTTCTCTGGACTTAGGCGAACTTGACTATTTGTTTAGAGTACGTAAATACCTGACAGAGTAAAGCTTTAACACAATTTAATGAAAAAGATATAATCCAAGATTGTTGATGTGGCGCGACAGAGCAATTTAACAAATTCTCTTTCACCCATGGGTAGGCCTACAAGTACATCTTTTGTTCGAGTTTAAGAGCTAGTAATCTAAGGACTTGGTGCTTACAAATAATATTTCAACATGTTTACAAACGATCCACACCTTATTATAGCGTGATTGAATAATGAAGAATTGGTTTGTTATATCTATACTAGAGAATATTAAGCATGGGCCTATGTTGCTTTGACTTTATGATAGTCCAATAAGAGACCTAGTAATTTACAATTAAAGTGGTATTCCAAACAGCATGCATGGATTTGGTAATCTGTAATGATGTAAGGCAAATGTTATTTCATATTCAGTCTTCGTCAACATCGGTTTAACTTACGGTACTTGTAATCGACATATGAAAGAAGTATGAGCTATCGGCCAAACTGATATTATCTACAGATGTTATATAGGCCCTACCCAGGTAATTTTATGTTACGTTTATAGAACAATAAACACGTATTTAGAACGTAATTTCATAACTAAATAAGGTTGCAACCATGGGCAGATCGAGAGATGTCCGAAAGGGAGCCGAAAGTGGGGCCGATCGAGATAACACTACCCTAGGGGGATCCGGGGGCATGCCCCCCGCGAATTTTCCCGCGTTTTCTAGACGCCCGAAAATAGCCTCTGAGGCGTTTTGTTCGATTATTTTTTTCTTCTATTTTTTTTCTATTTTATCTTTCCAAAAAGGGGCCGGCCCAGCCCTCCTCCTTAAATCCGCCCCTGGTAATGTTGCTGCAACGTTGTGTCAACGTTATTTTCTGACACACCAACCACAACGGTCGCGAACATTATAATAACTTTCTGTGTTTGCTGGGTATAGATGCATGCTCTGTATCGATTGGTATAATTAATCAATCCACTTTGTAAAAGGTCATGCAATAGGTCGATTGTACTATCTACAAGTTGTATGTATTATTTCCTATATAGGTCTATTATCTTAGGATGTGCACTAAGTTTACGTAAAAAATAGTTTAAATGTCACTCCAAAAATTGGCAGAGCCATTTTATTCACGCTTTTATTTAAGCAGCATTAAGAATAATGATGATGTTTAAAAGCAAAACGTAGATTAAAATGGCCTTGTCTATATTATAATAGTGTAGTTTTAGATAGCGCACATATCCATTTAATGTAAGATGCTCAGGGCACTTGATATGTGGACTAGGAACTCGATCAACGAGTTTCTTCGCCCTAAGGGTACCTTCGTGTCTGTGCTACCCGGTACCAGCAACTCTCGTCGTTATCTTACTAACTCGTATTTTGGACAGGGGAATGGGAATTTTCAAAAATTCTAACAATTTTAGACTTGGATAGTGTTTCTTGCTACAACACTACAATGGTAATTTGTTCAGAATACTGGCGATTATCCTGAGTTGAGTTGATTTCACCTCCTTACAAACCCCACACACACCGTACCCTTCATGGATATGCCTCTGCCACTGTGATGTTTGCCTTGGAGTGCTTTATTTAAATAAATTTAAAAAAATATTTGATTTTTAGAAAAAAAAAATTAAAAGGGAGTTTCAGGAGTGGTGGTTATAATTTTTAAAGGATCGGTTTTCTTTCTCGTTAAATTTGCAGTCCCAAAGTGCCTGCATTTATGTTTCAAACATGCTGAAAATGTTAATAATTAATTCATGAGCTCTCCATCAATGACCGAATTTGAATGAAAAGACTACTCTTCACGCGATTGTATATAATATCCCTTAACTAACTATGCATGCAATGCATCTATTTTTCCTAAGTCATCATAATTTTAAGTGAGATATTTTTTAAAAATCTATCATTTGAAACGAAACGCAGGTATACCGCTTTGGCGACATGTATAATGCTAGAATGATCGTTTCATTATGAATTAGGGACTCATTTTTATCCTTTTAAAATGAGATATTACTATTATTACTGTATTAATTATACATATGAAATATTGAACAAATGGTAGAAAACAATCGATTCGACAAACTGTGATCTCATTATATTAGGGATAACACCTTACCGTAAATCAATCCAATATTGACTAAAGAACCCGTACAACCGGTAAAAAACTGTGACACTGCGAAGACAGGAAAACTGTTGACTGTAGCGGCCAACAATCCAGCACCAACTAGAATTAAAGTATTAATAAATAAAACGGGTTTGCTGCCGAATCTGTTCGCCGAAACCCCAATAAGCAATGCACCAATTGGCCGGCCTAGCATATGCACAGTTTTCGATAGTTGTCTTTGCCATAGTTTATCGCAGACAAGATCCCACTACAAAAATAAAGAAAAGAAAGGAGATTGATTTATCAGCCAAGGAAAGACTCAGTAATCACACAAGAAAAAGTAGGCTCCTTTATTGACATGTTTGTAGACGTTCATCTGGTTTGTAGTAATTATAAGAACAAATAAATAAAATATAAAAATATTCTATCTTTTACTTTATTGACAGTTAACATTTAAACATTAAATATCATATGTATCTTTGGTACTGTATGTTAAAAATTGTCTTCAACATTTCTAATGTATTTGGAATTGTGACCTATTATATATTTAACCCTAATTCTGTCTCTTATACACATCTAGATGTGTATAAGAGACAGGAATACGTTAAGACGCGAACAAGGAGGAGTCATGTCTTTCTTTAAAACACTGAACAATTTGATAGAGAGGAGCAGTTGAGAGAGTCAAAAAGAAATCCAGTCGAGTGAGAGGAGAGCGGTACCTCAGCCCGAGGGCCCGTGGCTCTGGCCATTCCATCAGAGTACTGTTCCAACTTAATTCTAAAATAAGCTATTCAATTTAATTTTTCTTCCTAATGCATATACAGTAATATAGTTTATGAAAAATCCACTTACCTCAGCTACAGGCGTTGAGTGATAAATTGATTGGTCGTACACCCACCCAAGATCACATTCGGCAATTGTTGCGTTGCCGTCGCTTCCGTTTGATAAAACGACCCGCAGACATCTATCTGCAGTGTAGCAAGTGCTATTACTGGAAATCGGAAATGAGTCACAAAGCGAAGTTTGCGTCCTCGGAACATATGTTTCGTTCTGAAAGCTTCGGCAGTAGTGATCGGGTGCTGTGCTGGTTATAACCGTGAACACAACGATAAATCCATCGATAATCGACAGGAACACCAGCAGAACGAAGAACCTGCGTTGATAACTTCCAAATTCACCGATTGACTTTAAGTATCCGTCGATGTCAAAAGAGGTAGGCCGACCATACTCTTTGACGTCACCTTCGGGATAAAACATAATAAGACAAGTTGAAAACCTGTGATACGGACTGAAGTTTATCCCAAAAGTTGAATGAGAATAATTATAATAACGGGAAAGCAAATAATACCTTCCTTTTATCCTTTAGCATAGCTCTTGTTATCAAATTAAGATATTAGTAAAATGTAAATCAGCTGAATATATATATATATATATATATATATATAATTATATTATATATATATATTTATATATAAAATAAGTATGATTGCACAAAGTAAAATGATTATATGACTTAATGTATATACGAAAAATATAACATAAAAATAATTAAAATTGTAAAATACAATTAATACGATAGTATGTAGGTATTCGCTTAAGTCTTTAAGAATGAAAGTGCTTTTTCCGTGTATGTAAAAGAGCCATTTTGCTAACTTCGGTAATTTTTTCGCTAGTTTGGGAATGTACTGAGATTTCAGTACGATAACACTTCAGATGGAGCAAACCATCACTCCTATGATATTTTTCTGACACAAACAAATATCGGAAACTGTTTTGTTTTGTTGGTGTGGTGTTTTTACGGGAACTTAATTTTCCATTATGCCTGTATTTTCCCTTTCCTCTAGAAATACATATTGTTGAAGCTTGGTCGGATCCTGTGGTGTTGTATCGTACCAATGTGATCTACTGTATTGAAGACTACCAAATGTATACGTTTGTTTGGCTATTATTCAAAATTATAATTTTAGAGGTTTTCTCATCGGATTCGCTCTTTCAAAATGCTCTTGAATACGATTTCTTTTTGATATATAAAGCCACAGAGGGGAGTTGAAAACATCATAATAGGAAGGGGCGAGCGTTACGGTGAACAAATTTGTGTTATTCTGGCTTAATAATTGCAATACAATGTACGGACATTGAGGTATTTTATGGCACTGGATTGGGTTTTTTCGGTGAACACCAAGAATAATCTGCACAAAAGAAAATCAAAACTACCGGTGCTCTTTTCCAAAAAGGGTACCGTACTTCATTATTCGTGTACACGTTCTTTAACATGTACATCCATATTGCACACTGGACAGTGGCGCTTAAACGCAAGACGGTACAGTACATAGGCCTACTTTACAGGCTGGCAGGGCCAGACTAACACAAGGACTTTTGGGGCGCCAGCCCCTATTCCCACAGGCCTCAATGGGGGAAAATAGGCCTCCCGAACCCCAGGAAAATCTGGTTTTATAATTTAGCCACAGAGTATCATCATCGTCATTATCTGTCTTATCATCTCCATCACCAACATCATCATCATCATCATCATCATCATCATCATCATCATCGTCATCATCATCATCATCATCGTCATCGTCATCATCATCATCAGTAATATTATCATCAGTTATTATTATTATTATTATATTATTATTTATGTATTGGTATACTATTCGTCACATGATTATTATCATTAGGCCTATATTAGGCCTATTACTACTTAATATTATTTATTATTTACTTCATCATGTTCATCATCATAATATTCTCCATCGTCATCATTGTGTTTGAATCAGAGCTGATCTAAATTTATCGTCATCATATCGTCATTGTTATTGAACAGGTTTTTGTGGAACCATCTTGCTGTTTTTGAATTATCGTTTTGTTCAGATTTTTAATTCGTAATTAATAGTTTCCTTTGGTATTAATTTTGGTTTTTCAGCATACTTGCAATGACAGTACCAATAGTAATTACAGAACGTTAATTAATTATAATCTGAGCATGTGCAGATCAAAATACAAACTTTAAAAGCTGAACATGATAGTAAAAAACGCAAATAAAACGCCTGGAAGATGACATCGGATACGAATTCATCGTACGACCGTCGTGCGAGAAAAATTCAACTCGGCTCAATGTTTTTTTTTTTTCTCTTTCGTGGCGTAACCACCACCTTTATTCAAACAATCAGTACAGTACAGTACAATATTTCCTTCTATATCGATTTTTTTTCATTACCTTCATGGCATTACTGTTTTTTTTTTTTTATATATATACAACCAGTAACGTGTATAATCGAATAAAGGTAATTTGGAACTAAATATAATTTAAATTGTTTAATAGAATAATTTTTTTTTTATATCACATTATACGGTATATCATTATAATATAACATACTTTATTTAAATAAATAAATCCTTCAGCACATCGGAAACGCTTCCATTACGGTTTGGTTCCGATGTGAATGCCGCTAAATAGGCCTATTTTACAAATAAGTAGGCCTTTTTTTTTTACAAACGTTATTCCATTGTTTCTTTTCATATTTTTTTAAAATATTTTTGATATTAAAATATAACTCTTAATTAATTTTATATACTTACAAATATTTTTCAATTTAATCCAAATAATTCAAAATTAGTACAATGATAATAATACTATAGATAACAAAATAAAACTCATTCAAGTATAACGTTCCATTCATAATTATTTTCTTTTACAAAATTCTTAAATATAATCCATGCATTTTTACAAACAGGCTTACCTAGCTCTGTTAAAACTTTAATTTTGTATATTGCAAATACTGCAGTGGAATATATCTCATGTACCTATCTACACTTTATAACAGGAGGTACTAGCTGTTGTTGTTGTAGATAATATACTAACATTTAATAACATCCAAGAAGGTCACAGTTAGTTACACAGTGACGTACATCACATAAGTCCGTGAATTTCATAGGCCTACCGTAGGTAAACATAGAAAGAGCAATAATAGTAAAACTCGAGCGTCACGACATTGCGAAGTGTCTGCTCTTGTTCCTCGTATCGTACTCACTCGAGTCAATCCGAGATGGCCCGAGTGAAGTTTCATTCAAATGTTTCGTACGGGAAAAAATCGCTAGCGGTATCCGGATACGCTAACGGTTAGCAAGCGCTATCGGTTAGCAAGTTGAGCGCGTTTCTATCATCAACCAATCACACGTACTCGTTTACAATTTCCAGTTTCTTATTGGCCAGTGATTCGATCATCATATTCTTGGTATCCGGATCGGAATTTTCTGGTATGGACGCACGGCAACTAACGGTTAGCAGGATCCGGATCCTGCTACCGTTAGCTGCCGTGACGACTGTCGGGTGCAGTGAGTGCCCCGCTGAAGGTATTATCAGTAGGCCTATATCGAATGATACAATTTTTTTGAATCACGTATTTTATTATTGCTCGTATGTACCATTGAGCACTGTGATGATAGTGTTTTCGCATATTTTCATCATTATAACATATAAACTTCCCTCTTAAACACAGCCTCGTTCCCCGTCACGTGCGCGCACAATTACAATGATAACTTGTCCGCTGATACTGCTGATATTTTTTAATTGAAGATGATGAAGATAATTACGATGTAGATGGTGGTGATAATGACGATGGTGAGGATATGTTGATTACGATGATGATGATGATGATAATGAGGATGATGATGATGATGAATGCAATACTAAACATAATGACATCTTGTACCTGTATGCAAGTAGCTGCGGAAATACCGCTAATGAGTGGATAAAAATGATTTGTTTTTATTTCATTACACATTTTCTCAGCTGAGCTGAGCCAACCTCTGCCTTTTTCAATTGCAGTAAAAATGTTAAAAGCCTTTTTACAGGGCAATCTCTTATACAGAAAGATAGAACTAGGCCATATTTATAGTATTATTTATTCATTCATCAATTCAATTTTATTGTTTCAGATTTCAATAAATCCTGCAAATTATACACATATACAATAGGTATTCTTATATATGCCTCAGCACTGTGTGCGCTTAAAGTTCGCACAGGTGAACTATGGTAATACGGCATTTACGAGTCTCGGTTATTATTCGTTGTCGTAGGCCAACCAGCTAGTAGTAGTAGGCCTAACAAACACTTGTATTTGGATCAGTGGATAACAGCTATGAAATTTCGTTGGCTAATTCGGGGTCCCAGATCTTAAGGGGCATGCACCGGGATATTCATTAACATTTTCCCCTGAATCGATAGGGCGGGGCCTGAGAAACAGAACGAGAAAAGGAGAACATAAAAATATGACCGGCCCTAACAATATCCTAAACGCCAAAGTCGTCTCCCATTGGATCAGTACAGTGGCGGTGCTACGGGGGAAGGGGGATGCAACCCCGTCTTGGAGAAAAAAAAACACAATTAGTCGGGGAGAAACAAAATTATATGTATTTTATACATATTAATAGACTCCAAAATCTATTAAAAGCCTTTGAAACCTCTAAATTGTCATATTTTTTAGGGGGTTTTCCTCCCCGGACCACTTTACAAAGATTTTGAGCTACGCCCGATGACGGCCACTTGTCTCGTCGGCGACCCCCGTCGGGCAAATCATGGCGCCGCCCCTACATTGGATTTTTCCTGGATTCATCCCCCGGGGTAGTAGGGCCCGAAGAACCTTTAGCCACTCTCATAATTACGCAACTGTGTAATACAACGGTTAGCCGTTACCAAAATGACAGAGAGGATGCGCTCATACACAGCACTTCCTGGTAAGTTGTTCATTGATTATATTATGCACAGGTAAATACAGCAGTGCTGGCAACCATTATGTGTGCTGACAATAATCTCATCTACAATATTAAATTGACTGGGAGCAGGCGTTTTGTCACTGTGAAATCTCAAACTGACGTGTTTTGCTTTCCAGTACTGGACACGGGTTTGGACCCGGGTTTGGACCCAGGGTTGGACTGTATTTATATTTGTTGATAAGATGCGTTTATTGAATTGTAATCATGTATGGCCTAGTCAATAAGTTTTTATATAGCAATTATTTTTTTGTTTTTAAAGCAATATTTGCTTTTCTCTTTTAATGTAGTGGTGTATTTGTTTTAAACACATGATAAACACATGATAGTACCAATTATGAGTTCATTAACTAAGGTCAGTATTAAAAACTAACGTACTGTTTACATAGGCTGTAAATATGCTATTGTATTTAGCATCAAAATGTTTAAAACATATTCAGAGCCACTGCTGTAAAGTGGATCGAAT